AAAAAAAAAAAAAGAATTAAAGAAAGGGACGTCCCAAAGGGGATGTGGTGGCCTTGGCTGCACGGCTGCCTGGATCCTAAAGGATCTTGCGCTGGAATTGGGGAGCTGCAGGGAAGCAAAGGCAGTGTTTGTCATCCCCAGCCTGTGGGGACAAGGTGGAATAGAGTTGGGGGGGTTGCATGGGACTGGGGGGATTGTTGGGGGACAGTGAGGTCTGTCCCCCTCCTCCCCCCAGGTACCAGGACTGCAGGCCCAGCCTACGCTCAGCACGGAGGGAGCTGAGGAGGAGTTGGAGGAGCTGGAGGAGGGTTTATATTTTTTCCCTTTTTGTGCTCCAAAATCTCTCCCCAAAACCAGTGGGGGGAAACCTCCTACGCCTCCCCACAACCCCATCCGAAAGTCCATCCTGCTGCGCATGGACTGTCACGAGGCCATCACGAGGGCCAGGACGCTGTGTTCCAGCCGCGTGCCAAGAACATGTCGCTGTTTTGGCCAGAGAGTAGYGCCTGGCAGCACTGTGTCCCTGGTGCTCCCGCTGCACAGACTCTGCTTTCTGGTAAGACATGGGGGCCAGGAGAAGTGGCTCAGCACGGAGCTTGCTTCCCGAGGGAGCCTGGAATGAGCCCAGCTTGCATCGTGACTGTTTTTTTGCACTGCTTTTTCCACCTTGCACCTCTCTATGCTCACCTGGGATGAAAAATGTGCTTTTTTTAAGCTTCGTGGTGAGGGAATCCTGGTGTGTCACTGTTGTGATGTCATGGTGACACCACAGTGCCTTGGCTAGGGTGATGTCACCGCCCCGGATGGGAGCTGGGGTTCAGAGGCTGTGACAATTTCGGTGCCCTTTGCACAGAGCTACATTCCTGACATCGCTAGCCCCTTTCTTCCTGTTTAGAGATCCTGGCACAGAGCAGGGAGCATCCTCCAAGCCTGGGCTGTGGCTTCGCTCCAGTGGACAAACAGCCATTGTGGAAACTTCCTTCCTGTGACCATCCCAGCTGCTCCATGCTCTAGGCGCCAGCCTGGGCGATTGCTTGTGTGGGTGCCGGAGCTGAGACGTGACAGATTTGCTGCCTTTTTCTGCTCTTTGGTGTCTGATCCCACCAGGGAGGCAGAGCAGCCCCTCACATCCCCAAAAGCCTCTTCTCTTGCAACGCCTCTATTCCCGTTTCCCTGTGGGTTTTCCGACGTGCTCCCACTCCCATGTCCTTTGCAGGTTTCCTCTGTGACACAAACCACGTCCCAGTGGAGTTTCCCTGCGTCTGTGTGATGCCGTGTGCCTGATCTCATCGCTTGGGGTGATCAGTGCCCTGCAGGGCCCTGAGCAGCTTTGTCGCAAACCAGGGGCTGGTGGCACCGACCCACCTAGTGATGCAGAGCTGGTGGGTGCAAGGAGGCTACAAGTAAGGGGAAAAACTGGGGCGATTTCCCATAAACATCCAGTGAAAGCAGCCAAAAGCAGTGAGGGGGTTAACCAAAAAGATGGCGGTGAAACACCGAGATGCTGCGATGCTGCCTCAACTCGTCCTCCTGATGGGCAGGAAGTGGGCAGGAAGTGGCTCTGTGGGGGAAGCCCGGGCTGAGGGGGAGCTGCCGCAGGAAGAAGAGAAAAGGGAGGGGGTCCTGGCAGTGTTGAGGGGGAGGCAGGGGAGTGCGGGCACAAGGGGAGCGGTGATGGGTGGCAGCATTGGGGCATGGGGGTCACAGTGGTGACAGGCATCCTTGGCAGTGCTCGAGGGGCAGTGGATGTATCGGGGCGGGGGCAGAGTGAGACCGACATTGGGGGACCACAGCAGTGCTATAGGGCCCAACGCCGCCGGGGGCGGGTGCAGGCTTGGCGGTGCTATAGGGGCCATGCCTATAAGGACCAACACGGGGGGGGGGAGGGGGCGGGATCAGGCCCAGCTGCGTCACCGCCCCAGCTCCGCCCTCCCCCGGCGCCCCTCCCTTCCAACCAGTTTCATCCCCAAAAAAGGCGCCCTGCTCCCCAGCATGCCCGCCCCTAGATGGCACGTTACATAACGGCGGGGGCGGGACCGGAACCGGCACGGCCCGCTCCCGCCCCTTGACGTCACGGCGGCCACGGCTATAAACGGCAGCTGCGCCGCATGAGCCCCGCCCCTCGCCCTGCCACCGGCAGCGCGGCCTGTTTGGCGCCATGTTCGCTATGAAGCGCCACGCCGTGATCGGCTTCAACCTCTACTGTGGCGGCGGCCCGGCCCTCGCGCCCGCCGCGTCGSCGCCAGCGCCGCCGCCGCCAGCGCCGCCGGGTCCCGAGGGCGGCTGTGCGCCCAACGGCCGTGCTGAGGTACCTCGCCTTTTGATCGGCCCCGCCGCGGCCCCCCGCGCTCTCATCGGCCCCGCCGCGCGGCCCGCCTCGCTGTGGAGCCCCGAGCAGGAGCTGGACGGCTGTGAGGCCGAGGCGGAGCGCGGGGCGGCCGCGGGGGCCTCGCTGCCCGCCACGCCGCCCGCCACGCCGCCCGAGCCGCAGAGCCCCGACGAGCTGCGGCAGGACTCGCTGGAGCTCATCAGCCGCTACCTGCGCGAGGCGGCGGGCGAGGCCGAGCCCGCTGCCAAGAAGCTCTTCTCGGGCCTTCTCAGCGGCCCCGGCCGGCCCGGCGGCGCGGGCCTTATGGAGAAGGCGCTCGAGACGCTGCGGAGGGTCGGCGACGGCGTCATGCGCAAGCACGAGCTCGCCTTCCAAGGTGGGCGCTGCTGGGCGGGCCATGGCGGCGGGAAGGGGCTCACTGCCCTATCCATTGCCCCGGGGTCCTGGTGGAGGCGGCGAATGGGAGGAGGGCCGGGACCGCGGGGAGGGGGAAGATTCCTTTCCTTAGTGGGTTCCCTCATGGTATATTGGGGTCGTGGGTCCCAGGTCCCTTGGTCTGAGCTCGGATTCCCTCCCTGGAGGTGGGGTTCCCTGGGGGCAAGGCCCTAGCAATTGGGGTGCCAGGCCTTGCTGTGGGCATGTGTGCCTTCAGGAGGGCTGCCCGAGGGACATTGGAGGCTACTTTCCTTCGGGAAGCTGTGGGTCCTGCCGTGGCCGATTTCACTTCCTGGGGAGGCCCCTGGCGGTGCTGGGGGCTTGTCTCCCCTATCCCCACTGTGGCAGGGGGACGATTGTAGGCCCTGAGCCTCTGCCTGGGGTGGTCGCAGCGTGTGGGGCCTGGGATGGCAGCAGGGGAGTCGGCTCTGCCCCCGTGCCTGTGGCCTGGGTCCTCCATGTCGGAACTGGGGCGCTGGGGCTTGGGGCTGCAAGGAGTTGAGAGGGAAGAGTGGTTAGAAACGAAACTGAACTTTGCTCATTTGGGAGGGGGAAACCCAGCCCTAACGTGCACCAAGGAGATAATCTGGTTATAAATTAGCCACAGTTCCTCCTCGCGTCCTGCTTTGATCAGCCTAGCTACATGCAAATAATCTGGAGTGGCCAAAGATTAATTAGCCGAGTAGCTTCAACCCCTGCTCCCCCAGCCTGGGGAGGCATGAGTTTGTCGGAGTAAAGTTCTCCTGAATAACGCAATTGGGTGACAACTATTTTAGAGCATTACAGCCGCTTCTGAGTGGTCTGAAAATAGCCACAGAAACTCGCAGAGCAGAGGGTGAGCAGGTGTTTGTGCCGAGGACGAGAAACTGCAGCCTGAAGTGCTGGGAAGCCCGGGCAGGAAGTGGGACCGGCCTCTCGGCGCTGGTTTTGTGCAACGCAAGCAGCGCTCGAGACCACAGCCGCAGGAATTTGAGTTTGAGCTCTCGCCGAGAGGGCCGCAGCCCTGTCTTCCACAGGGCAATGCCTTCCTGCTTGGAGGAGGATGTTCCAGTTTTTTAAATTCTAACTTAGTTCTGTCTCTGTAAAAGATTGTGGATTTAATTACACGTGTGTAGTGTGGGAAGAACTTTCAAGTCAAAGCTTATGAGAGGGCAGCTTTAGCTTTAAAGATAGATAACTTTGTGCTAAAAAAAAAGTTGGGAAAGCTTCCTATTGATTGGCCATTGCAAGTGATGCCTTTTGCCCTTCGTAAGGGCTTGTCCTTTTTGCTTGCTCACAAGGGGCATTGAAAGTCAGTGCCGTTCCTGTCCCTAGAAGCAGATGAATAAAATCGTGAGACATCTGCTTTGCAGGAGGTAATTGTGCTTTATCTTGGCTGAGGCCAGGCTGCAAATGGACTTCAGTGCTGTCACTGTGACCCTGCAGGGCATGGAAGCTGATGGGGCAGCAATGGCAGTTGTGCCCGGGTAGGGAGGAAGGCACTAGGAGTGGGTTAGATTCTGTGGGGATGAGTGTGTGCAGCTGAGCCCTTAAAAAGGAGAGACTGTGGGACTCGAAGCGGCTCTCACTCCCCTGGGCTTGTTTCTAAAATGAGTGTCTCCCACAGGAATGCTGCGGAAGCTGGAAATCCAGAAGGAGGAAGACCTGCAGTCAGTGTCTGAGGTGGCTGTCCATGTTTTCAGTGATGGAGTAACAAACTGGGGTAGAGTTGTGACACTCATCTCATTTGGTGCCTTTGTTGCAAAACACCTGAAGAGCATAAACCAGGAGAAATGCATCCCTTCGTTAGCAGGGATCATCACAGATGCTCTCATCTCATCCAAACGAGAGTGGCTTCTGAGCCAAGGAGGCTGGGTGAGTCACTGCCTGTCCCCAAAATTGTGGCCCTCTTACAGCAATCCCGTTTTTCCTATTTCCATGACCAGTCTGGTGACAACCGTGTGTCAGTGGAGCACATGCCATGAGTCACTGCTCTGCTTAAATCCCTGGCTGAGAGGCCTAGTCAGAGCCATGGCGTTTGAGCAGTTCCTGAGGTCAAACTGCTTTGAGCAGTTTAGACACAAAAGTGAGAAGGTAGCAGTATCCCCACAGCCACTTTGGGACTGCTCGCAATTTCTGCCTGTGCTCGGTGGCCTTGGGATGGCCCTGCTCCTGTGATGAGCATAATGAGCATCCCAGACTGCACCCAGCTCTGAGTGTGCCTGGCTTCAGGAAAGCCAAAAGGCTTTTGTGCTGTGAAGACCTTGTCACTGGCAAGAGAAATGACTGTCCCTTCTTTTTCCTAGGAGGGTTTTGTTGACTTCTTTCAAGTAGAGGACCTAGAACGAAGCATCAGAAATGTCCTCGTGGCTTTTGCGGGGTTTGCTGGACTGGGAGCAAGCCTGGCGTACATGATCCGGTGAGCTCTGCCTGTGGGATGGCAGAACTCCTGGCGCCAGTTCTGTTTGGAGCGTGCGAGCCCACTCTTCCTCCTGTGAGTATTTACGAAGCTGCCCTTCTGACTCAAGGAGAACATCTAGGCCTCCCCTGAGCAATTCTTTCCAGAGAAAGAAGGCCTGATATAGTCAGATATGAGCACCACAGTGGATTTATTGCTTTGGGAACAAAGTGAAGAATTGATGTTCTATTTCCTTCAAGAGCACCACAAAAGAAAGCTCAAAGCTTCAAGTTTTACCCCCGAGGGAACAGATCTGCTCACCAAGCCAGGAGCTGCAAGCCAGGAGCACCAGCACCAGTCCCAGCCTGCCAGCTCCAATTGCAAGTGCAACAGCTGTTCCAGAGCACGCAATGGTGGCTTTCTGGAAATAGCATCTTTAGCTGTTGTCCTCCCTCAGCTTGTGGCTTTTCCCTCCCCTGGCACAGAAGTGTTAAGTGCCAGGTGTCGTGTGGCTGTGCCCAGGTGTGCAAGCGTGGAGTGAAACCACTGCTGACCCTGCAGCAGCGGACGGGGATGGGATGAGTGACCCACTTAGAGCACGTGCGACTCATCCTCCTTCCTGCAGGACACATTTACCTGGCTCCCTGAGCAGAGCCTTGCTGGAGCAGTTGCATAAGCAAGTGCCACAGCCACTAGCAGCTTGGGGACACCGCCCCTGGGGAGGGACAAGGGGACAGCTGTGTAGGGTGGCCTGGGGGACTGTAACCACAAGCAGCTGCAGCTCATCCACGCTTGTGTCCGACTGGTCTCGGCTACATGGCTGTGCTGTGTGTGTGGATTCAAAACAGGGAGTGCATTTGTATGTATGTAAAACTTCATATGGGGTGGGGAGGCTGCTTTTTTTAAAAAAAAAAAAAAAAAAGAAAGAAAAAAAACACCTTGTAAATAACTAAAGCTGTAGCATATGTCCTTTTTTCTTTTTTTTTTTTTTTACAGAGATAAAGATGCAAAAAGGGACATCTGAATGTGATGGGAGTCACTTGCAGGTGTCCCTTCATTCTTCTGGGATACAGTGTATTTTTGGGACAGAGTCTTCTCCTACCTTGACTTTGAGCCTTTCTAATGTACTCTAGAAAATTGTCAAGGAAGTGTAGTGAGGACCAGTAGCTTGGTAGGATTTTGTGCCTGTGGCTTGCTGGCAACAGTTCTTGTTTCGGTTTGTTTTAATCTTGTTTTGGTTGTTATAGTGCTTCTAGCGGGTGGGGAGTGTGAAAGCTGGTATCAGTTAACTTCCTTTTCTTTGCTTTATTTTTGTTTTTTTTTCCACTGTGAATGAAATGAAGCTATTAGTAGAATGTAAATGTTCTGGAGTAGAATAAAACTCCTTGAATTTGATGTGCGGTCGGTGCGCGTCCGTCAGTCCTCTGCTCTCTTGCTGGAAGCATCACCCCTAGCGAGGCTTGCACTGTTCTGCTTTGTCCACTCAAACTGAGCAGATCAGTTGTGCGTGCATTGTTTTTTTGTTGTTGCTTTTCTTTCTTTCCCTTTTTTACCGCCTTTTGGTGAAAGCCTCTGTGATACCAGGCCTCCTCAGCATGACTAGGAAGCTACCTCTGCCCTGTGTGGACTTCAGACCAAGTGATGCCTAATGGAAATACAATGTAAACGCAAGCAGAGAGCTTAAAGATGGTGCTATTGTCAAGCCCGCTTGTTTCCTAACAGGTGTGTGCTTTTGTCAATAAATGTCTTTGTTCTCAAGCTTCCAGTATTTAAAACTCCATTTCCTGTAAGGAGATGCTGATGTGGTAGCTGGTCCTTCCCAAGAGGAAGAGGAAACCCCATGGATGCTACAGTTGGGGCGGTTTGAATTGCACTGAGGTGATTCTAGTTGGATCTTGTTGCCTCCCTCAGTCCTGGGAAGGAAGATGCTGCTTCCTAGCAACAAACACCCTGTTGGGAGTAACTGCTTTTTGGGATGGAAGAACTTCCCCCTGGTTTCCCTCACCATGCAACAGAGGCCAAATCCTCCCCTTTAACCAAAACTCTTCTGTTTTAGATAGTAGCTGTAAGTGTGCTCGTAGTTTGACCCCACAGGATGCCTGGAGATGGGGCTGGAGATAAGTTCTTTCTTTCCTGCAGGGGAAAATGAGTGGAGCTGTGGAAAGCAAGTGGCCCTGTGGTCTTGGTGCTTCTTCCTTGCTGCATCTTCTCTCTTTTAGCTATTTTGGGCCCACATTCTTTAGTCTCCTGTGGCTGCTGAGGCCCTGCATGCAAAGCTGGGCCTTTGCCATGGAAATATGCAAAGAGCTGCTCTGGGGCTGTATTTTGGGTGTTAGGGTGTCAAAGAGGCTTTCTGCTTCCTGGTAAGGCGATCTGCTGCGAAACCAAGCTGATAAGGCTGTGCTTGCTGCTGATAAAAGCAGCTGGCTTCCTGTTCCTCTTAAATAAGGGACTTTTCAGAGTAAAAACAAAACCAAAAACCTGCGGGGTTTCAGATTCTTGGAAACGCTTGCATTTCAAAAGGGGAAATTAAAACAATATTTATGGAAGCTGGAGGTATGTGGTTGGGATCCTCTGTGTCTTTTTTTGGGGGGGAAAGCTTCCTCTGGATTTATGCATCCTGGCCCTGGCACTTTTGGGAGCCTCTTGCAAATTGAGGTGCTGCACAGAAACATTGTGGTGAAGTTGTTTTTCCCCCCATCAAAAAAAAAGAGGGAATAATGTTGAAAAAATGGCTGTTCTCTTGCTTTACACCCTCTTCTCCCATCTGCCTGTCCCTCTCGGGCAGTTTTGGGGCTTTAATAGCCTGAGGGTGGTGGGGAAGTGGCTGCTGCTGCTTCCTCTTCTGTGAGAAGCTGTGTGAGGCTGGAGAGGGGGGCTGGGCCTCGCTCTGTGCAGCCTCCGTGCTCCAAGGTGAAACCCAGGGGACATTGGGTGGCTTTAGGGGTTCCCAACACGCTGAGGAGGCCACCCACAAATGACCCGAATGTCTGTGTGCCGGAATGAGCTCCTGCCCTCTTGGGCACTGGGGTCCTGGATGCCCTTTGAAGGCGCTGACTGGGATGGAGCTTGGAAGTGGCTCTGGCCATAGCTCTGCTCTGGGATCATGGATGTTTCCTGTAAGCCGAGTTGCTTCCTGGCATGCAGGAGCCACTGTCCCCCATGTCCCCCTTCATTGCACTTCCCCCTGCGACTGTCCCTATAATGATACAAACTGAGTTGCTTGAACTGCCCACCTTGTTTGGTGCTTTTGCCCTGAGCGGGGGGGATGGCCTGCAACTTGAGCTCCTGCTCTGACCAGCTGTATTTTCTTTTGGGGGAGAGGGGTGATGGTGACAGGAAGCACTCAGCCCGTCTCCCAGAATGAGTCCTGGGGAAATGCATTGGGCTACCCTGGGGAAATGAACCCCATGGGGTCAGACAGTGGAGGTGGGGGGGGTGGTATTGGGGCTTCTGCATACCTGGGCCCTCCCCATGTCCCTCAGCCCGGTCCCCATCCTGCAGTTACCACCTTCTTGTATCTTACAGGTCCCTGGGGGGAGGGATGTGGTGATGCTGCTGGGACCAGGGTGCTGGTGAGTTGGGGCAAGCAGGTTTTTTTCTGGAAACTCCATGGTGCCCCACACCCCAAATCCCAGGAACTAACCAGCCCCTGCCTGAATTATTGCCCTGGCCACGCAAACAGGGCCACCCAGAGCTGTCACTCTGGCGGGTACGATGGGTGAGGGGGTGGCTGCGGGTGACTCAGTCGCAAGACTTTCCGCTCTGACACAAATATTTGGTTGCCAGTGGCAACTGCACGAAGCAAGGAAAGAAGCAGGAAGCAGTGGGGTGGTTTGGCCCAGCTCCTGTCATGAGTGTGCAGAGCCTCAGCCTGTAAGGGCTGAGTGGGCAGGAGGAGGGCCAGGTCCCCTTGTGGTTCCCAGGAGACTCTTGATGGGGAGGGGAAAGGGGGTCATGGGGGGGGGCTGGGGATGGATTTGCACATGCATGGGGTCAYGCAGGTGTGTGGTTTGCACATGCATGTGGGCTTGCACAGTTGCATGATTTGTACATGAGTTTGCACAGGTGCATTCCTTGTACACAGGGGGGTTGCACAATCATGGATTTGCACAGGTGCATGCTTTGCACACATATGTGGGTTTCCACATGCATGTGCACTTGCACCCAGCCCTGCGGCGTTCTGCCCAGCAACAGCACCGCTAATAGCAACTGGGAAGTCACGTGGTGCTTCCAGGAACCTGTGCCGGGGGGGGGGGGGGGGGGTGGGGGGGGGGGGCGGATGGGGACTGGGACGTGTCTGTGTGGCGGGGGGCAACAGTAGGGTTGGGGACATGGGTGCAGAGGGGGACCCTGGGAATGGGAACATGCTGGGGAGGGGGACACACACCAGGGAGGATGCATGAGAAAGGGGTAATAGAGCGAGATATCCCTGGTGGGGGGGGGGGCGGGGTGGGCATAGACAGACACATGAGGAGGGATGCATGATGGTGGTGGGGGGCAGGGACATGCTGGGGAACAGATGTTGGGGGGGAGGAAATGGGGATGTGTGCAGGTGCTGCTGCCATCCCCTGCCCACCATGATGCACATGGCAGGACATGGACCCTATAGGACATGGGCTATAGGATGTGCATATGAGAACTGTATGAATTCTAGAGGGTCCTAGGGGCTCTCTGTGGGGGTGCTAGGATTGGGAGGGGTCCTATGGGATTTCTATGGATCCAAGAGGGATATAGGTGGCGGGGGCGGGGGGGGGGAACGGGACGGCATACACGCAGTGCGTATATGAATAGAGGGCGAGGCTGCGCGCATGCGCAGAGACGTGCAGAGCGCTCGCTGCTGCCACCGCATGTCCAAAAACCGGTACTGCAAGAGGGAGGAGCGCGCATGCGCAAGACGGTCGGGAGCGCTCGCTGCTGCCATCGTGTGTTCAAAAATTCATACTGCGTTAGGGTTATGAGCGGCGGGAGATAAGGAATGAATGCACAGATTGCTTGATAGCGATGTATGCTGCTACCGACTGCCAAAAAAAATTTGGTATTGCTATGGAAATAGAGCAGCGTGCAGGCACATCGAGAGCCCTCCCTGCTTCCAACACGGGTCCAAAAATCGGTCCTGGATTGTGTCCTTGAGTGCTCGCTGTTGCCATCGTGTGTCCGAGAATCAATACTGCAAGGGAAAGGGGGAGCACGCATGCGCACTGTGTCCTTGAGCGCTCGCTGCTGCCATCGCGTGTCCGAAAATGAATACTGCAAGAGGGAGGGGGGAGCGAGCATGCGCAGAGCGGTCGGGAGTGCTCGCTGCTGCCATCGCGTGTYCGA